ACACATTATTCCTTTATTTTGATTTATTTTGTTGATTGTAAAACTACTAGTTGGTGGACAACACTGTCCACTGACAGATGGAACAGTGAATTCTCCTAAAAATACAATAAATATAAACAAGAGTGGATAACTATTAGCAGTTGAGCCACAAACACAATAAACCGAAAACAATTTATTTGCAAGGAAGTGGGTGTAACTAGTCAAAATGGCCACTAATGAGTTGCCTTTTTGTTTGGTTGCAAATCACTCTTTAGCTTGTATATTAGGTCTCTCTTGTAGTCAAGAGAAAAGTAACATTTAGAACTATGGAGAGCCTTAGCAGTTAGCATAAAGATAAAGAAAGTTTTAAATAAATTGGTACTAATTAAATTGTAATAAATTGTCATATACAAGTATAAAATAATAATATTACCAACTCTAATACCATACTTAAATGCAGCGGGTTTTCCTTCGATTCACTCCATTCTGCCATGCCCCACCATGCTATCTTGCCACCCAAAATGGCAATGAAATGAATTATGGGCATGTCCAAAAATATGAATATCATTAAAAGGCGCTAGTGAAAAAGGACTATAGCCCTCAAAAAAGGCACCCTATGGTAAATTTTGCTAAGGGAAGGAGTTTCCAGTTGGTAGCAGTTTGACTGTATTAGGGAGAGTGTCTAACCTGCTTATATTCTGTGATACCACAGTGCGAATGTTTGCATCTGTATGATCTGTTTTTAAGTATACAGAGTTAATCTCAGTAATCTTCAAATTTATGGGTTTAGTTGATAAAATGACGCTTGCAGCATGCAGGCAACTTTAAGTTAGTCTGAGGATCATGCAGTGCAAGAAACAAGCAGGAGCAGACAGGAATATGTTCCAATGGTTGGCTATTTCTTATTTGCGGCTTTGTGACTTGAAATTAAGGATGCAAGAATGGCTAATTAATGCTAATCACCATGCGCATTACACGCTGTGGTATCACAGATTATAGGCACGTTAGAAACTCTCCCTAAATAATTATCCACTCTTGCTATAAATAGTAATAATGTCATCAACTGTCACATCTCAAGAAATATTCACACAATTGATAAAAAAGACACTCACCATTAGATAGATTATAAAGTAACTGTTCATTAGTACGAACACGTCCACGAACAAGTCTATCCTTAACCTGATCATATTGAAACTGAGGATGTTTGACAGCTGGTATAGTATATGTACCATACCCTCCAACCATAAAAAGATAGTCAGTTCCATCAAGTTCCAGTGAAAGCATTCCACCATAGGCTTTCTTCATCATGGACTCATCGTTAGGATGCAACTGAGTCCAGCTCATGGTCAGTGTATTTAGTACATTTAAACTGTTGTGGTAACAATTATCATGACCACAGGCACCAGCATAATAATAAATATTAGAACGAAAGGTGGTACAACAGTAGGCAATGATTCCTAATGGAGGAGTGCCTCTTGTTAGGTGAGAGGACCAGCGAGCTGATGAAAAGGAAAATGTCTCAACTGTTGAGGTCACTTTCCTCTTTTGAGGTGAATCGTGTACTTGTAAACCAGGCTGGAACCCTCCCCACAGGTAGAGTGAGTCTCCTATTACTGGAGCTGAGTGATTAGCCCTCTTTTTGCGGAACTTATAACTACCTGTAAAGTAAATAAAATAATATAAAAGAGGGAAAGAAAGAGAGAAACGAACTTTGTCCTGACATTTCTTCCAACCAGCCGGCCAAGTTCGGCCATTGACGGCCAACTATAAAAAAAGGTGTGGTAAACAACTTTATATATTCATAGATATTATAGACTATCAACTATAGGTTACGTAGTCTATAATATCTATGATATATTGCATCAATTGAGTAATTTATTTAACTCTAATATCTATGATAGAAGCACGTTCATATATGATCAACATGAGTACATGCAAGTCTACAACAATATTATTTATTAATATTATTTATTAATAATCCTCCTCTTGTATATAGAGGCTTGCAGACTCATAGAATTCCTCAACATAGTCGAAGGCCTCAATGGCTACGGATTCTGTTTGATCTACAAGTGAGTATGTTTTCTGTTTAGTGCACTTTCCAAGCGGAGTGCAGACATACATGTGTACCCACATACACACACACACACACACACACACACAATACTTGAATTATTTACAATAAGTTATATCATACCATAATATTTGTATGTGTGGAAAGTTCTTGAAGGAAGTTTAATAATAATAATAATAATAATAATAATAATAATAATAATAATAATAATAATAATAATAATAATAATAATGATATTCCTTTAGCATTCCATCCATAGTTTAGAGTCTAATCAGTGCATGCATGAATTTGCTTATCACAACAGAATGACTTGAGTTATGATAGGCTGTTGTGGTAGCCCACATATCTTACCCTACTTTTACTCCCTCTTAACCATACAACTGATAAACAAGATAAAATATTTGTACACTAATTAATAATAATAATAATACTACAACATTTATTTTCATTTATTTATTATGAGTATGTTTTTATGTAGGATGAACAAAGTCACCCTGTAGTTCTTGGTTGCGGCCCTAATGGGATTGAAGTTTTGGAAGGAAACATACAAACTCTGTCCATCAAATGGTAAACAATTCCTAACGATCTGTATCAATCAATGTTCGATGCTTGTATGTGCTACAAGGAGATATGTCAAGCATGTTTTCATTGAGTAATTTAATCAAGTCATTCTTTGTCCTTATTTGCTTTGTACAGGGAGACCGTGACTATCATCAATATAAGATACAGGACGATAAACTTCCATTCTGATACGACGTATGTAAGTGCAATGAGGTAGAGAATTAAATTACAGAAAAGTATAATTGCTATTGCTAAGCGTGTACTATACGAAGATTGATATCCAGACTTGCTATGTCTGAAAGTTCTTGATTACTGTTGATTATCATTTCTATTAAGGAATAACAAGAAGTATCTTTTTTTATAATAACATATTGCGTTACACGTTACGTTAGAAATCTCCAAATTATTTTAATAATGGTATCCGGTGTAATTTAAGCTAGTAATGCTACACTTTCCAATGAAGATTCTTATGATTTAAAATTTTATTTTACAATAGACTAATGGAGTCCACTCTTTTCGATGCCCCACGACTAAACTCTGCAATTACATTGGACTCCTTTGTGTGGAAATGAGGAATTACTACTGGTAAGTATCAGAAGCAATAGACTATAAAGGTACATGTACGACATTGGGACTTGACTATAGCCCAAGGCTGCCTTTTTATATCATTAGTAAGCTCTAGAGAATAAAGCAAAAGATATCTTATTTCAGTTCACTTAATCTACCAAAGAGTTATTGGGTTTATATTGGTATATTATTACTTTATTGGTTTTATTGGTCTAGACAAACGTTGAATAGAAACTTCTGTAATGTATAGTCCACTTGCCTATAGTGCTATTATAGTTGTTTTTATAAATGATAGAAAATGAATATTAAGATGTGCTTGAACTTTCTTTATTATTGCCTATA